ATATATATTTCCATTACTAAGTTTCAAATGTCAGTTGTGACTCCATAGCAGGGAGAAGAATGATTTTTGTTTTTTTGGTACTGGGGATCAAACTCAGGACCTTGCCCTTGCAAGGCAGGTGGGGTACCACCACTGAGCTAAATCCCTGGTCCAGATGACTGATTTTTGAAGTTTTAACCATATACTTAAGGGAAAGAAGGTGAAAAGACAGTATCGATTCTATAGTTCAACAAATGCTTATCAGTGATCTCCTTGGTAACCTATGTAATCTGTAGTAGATCCTGGGAACCCACAGCAGAACAAGGTTGGGGCAAACATAGAGAAACCAACTATCTTGGTTTGCCTGGATTTAAGTAGGTCCCCAAGATGCAAGACTTTCGCTAACACTGGCAAAAATTTAGGGAAATTAAGATAAGTTGGTTACCCTACCTGTGTCCAAAGAGCTTAAAGTTAGAAAGGAAGGCAGTGATAAAAATACATAATTATGAAATAGTGTAGTGTGTGAAATCATGAAATAGTAACGGTAGTATGTAGTTCTCTACCACTTTCTGTGAGACAGACAATATTTAAAATAATGCCACTTTTAGTCTGTATAGGTTCCTATAATAAACTTGGGTACCCTATAACAGCAGAAATTTATATTGCACAGTTCTGGAAGCTAGAAAATACAAGATCAAACTGCCTTTAGAGTCAGTGTCTGATGAAGACTGCTTTTTGGTTCATTGAGTCTTCTTGCTGTGACCTCACACAGTGGAAGAGGCTGGTTAGCTCCCTGGGGTCTCTTTTATGAGGGCACTAATTCCTGCAGGAGGGCTCTGCCCTCATGAACCTGTTACTTTCCAAAGGCCTCACTTCCTAAAACCATCAAGCTGAGAGTTAGGATTTCCACATATGAATGGGGGTGGAGCATAAGCATTTAGTCCATTGCAATGACTTTACATGATCAACTTTTTATATCCTATAATAGCTCTCTGAAGGAAGGACTAATATCTCCATTTTATATTGTAAGAAATTGAGGCATACAGAACTTGGACTCACAGGCAATGTGGGTCTATATCTATTTTTTTTTTAACGTTAAACATTTCTCTCAAAAAGCCTAAGCACAGAAAGGTGAGTGGTTGACTTTGTGGGAGATAGGAGGGGGTCACGGGAAAAGTGGTGGGAAACAGGCCGGAGAACAGATTTAGGGTGATGAATGATGAATTAACTGGCAAAGATTGAAAGGGTCATTCCAGATAGAACAGCTCAGGTTAGGCACTAGAGATGGAGAAGGTCATGCCTTGGCTGGTCGGTGAGTGCTGGAGGCAGGGAGAATGGAAGTTCTTTGGGCTGTGACATGCACAGTGGTACATTTCACCAACCTTGGTATGACCTTGGGAAGATACCTGGAGAGGTAGGAGGGCCAAATCATCACGGACATGATAAGCATAGACTTTAACCTGTGCACAAAAAGCACTGGAGATCCTAAGTGATATACTATTTACCTTGATCCGCTCATTGTACATGTATTGTTGCAGTGTCACACCGTACCCTGTAAATATGTACAATTATAATGTGTCAGTTAAAAACAAAACATAGTTTTTGAAAGTTGAGACTTGCAATTTTACAGTTGTGAGGATTGTTTGAAGGGGAAGGGGTGTGGGAATAGTGGTGGGGATAAACAAGTATGAATTTCTAAAAAAATAAACACATGAGAACTGGAAACTACAGCTTTGGCAACAAGGACGGACAGAGCTGGACAGATTGAAAAGACAAAGGGAGCAAAATGGACCACACTGTGATAGGCGTTAGATGGAGAAGCTGAAGGAATCAGCAAACCTCAAGATAAATTCTGTGAGTCTGATTGGGTGACTGGGTGCATCATGGATCAACTAAGAATTTTAAACAAACCAAATAAAAAAGGGATATGAAAAACATGAGTTTCAAAGGGCAAAGTATAGTAAGTTTGGTATTTCACTTGTGACTCACAAGGAACTGTAAAATCCTAAGGTGGTATTGTCTAATACAAGCATTCCATAAAAAAGAAGGAAATACCTTGCCCTAAAGAGTGCTTACTTTTCCTATCAAGAGTGAAAGAATAATTATAAAGGAAATTCTAGGAGAGAGGTAGCAAGTAAATAGAAAGCACACTAATTAACGTAATAATAATTTAACATTCTTTGGAGTACTCTTGAGGTAGAAAATTATAATATATGCATTTATGATATCATGATTTAATTTGTTATTTCTTCTAATAAGACTGTTTGTGCTCTACAAAAGACAGCAATATCTAACTGCATCATTATTGAAAGAATTTCAGGTACCATAATCCTGGAGAGGGGTCAAACTTTTTTTTTGGCAAATAAATCTTCCAGGACTCAAGTCCTAGCACATTTACAGCTGCTAATTCTAAGTGTAGGGATGTGGGGGTAACTTGAGCAACTGAAAGTTATTCTAAGTTCTTTACATGCAGTCTACCCATACCTGCACTTCTCCCCCTAAAAATACTTGTATGTTTATTTCAAAATATTGAAGATCTTTAGGATCTTGGAATTATAAGCATAGAAATTCAGTTACTACTGATCAATATTGAAAAAGGTCCTGATTATTTGAAAGTCTATTTATGTGAGTTTGATTTTTTAAAATGCCATTCTTCATCTCTGTTTTCCCCTCTTACTGCTTAAGTTTGATCATGCTTTCTTTTGAGTGCTCTTGTTCTATAGTTGAGAGAAGGAACATACAGCCACTCATCCCCATGTATACTCTCCTCTGCCAATTTCTGGATTAAAGAGTGTGGACAATGATCCTGATTACCTAATGAATCCTTTAACCAAAGAGCTTAAACTAGTACCTCATGAACACATATTTTAATTGAATTTAGCATGTGTTCTTTGACCCTTATGATTAAGTGGCATAAGGATCCTTCCTACTAAGCAAAACTTCACCCATCTCTCAGATTTCCCAACTTCAGTTTTTATTTAGAGAATCATGCTGCTAACTGTTCTAACATCATCTATCTTTGTCAGCACCCAAGGCCACAACTTCATCTGTATGACCCATGATATGTGGCAGACAGAGTGCACCCAAGACTTTAAACTCTATACAACATTTATATGGACTCTGACCTTACCAGAGATGGATTGGGGCTGCCATAAACTTTTGTAGTAGCCAGGCAAACAAAAGACTAAGGAGAGTGCTACAGGGAGGGAAAAACAATGTCTTTCTCCATTTATTTTTCCCCTCTTCAGAGGTTAACTACATTCCACTTAGGAAATGAAGAACTCAGGAGTATGGGAATGTATGGAACCCTGTACAGAAACAAACTCATCCTTTCAGCGGTACTCCAGGAGGTTTTAGCCAAGCCAGCAACCAGCACAATATCCTTACAATATCCCACTTTGAATCCATTGCATTCTACCACTCATATAATTAACAGAAGAAAAGACTTAAGAAACATAGGTCCAAAAGAGACAGTGGGTCAAACAAGAGCGTGAGTGCGTGTTCGTCGTGTTCCTCGGGCAAGTACCCTTAACACTGTGATCACGATGTTATTTATGGACATGCTCATCCAGGACAGACAGACTGCTGGCCTTACACTCGGCATGTCCAGCCTGCAAACTGAACTAGACATAGTGACATTCCAGGGTTTGTATTCAGGATTATCAGCATGTTGAGGCCCATCCTTTACCTGAACCCACAGGTATTTTGTAGGGACTCAGGAACCTGACTGGGAAAACGCTTGTATACAACAAAAGAATAATTTATTTTTTATGGCTAATGCTATTCAGTTATGTAAACACTTAGTGTGATTAAGCTCGCTGCAAAGAGATTGCCCAGTTATCAGAAACGGGACGTCCCACCCCCATCCTTGTCCCTTCACATGGATGTGGTGTGCTATCGCAGACTGCTGTGTGAATGCTTGGTTGCATTCTTCGTGGACCGCCTGCACCTAACTTTGGAAGATGCAGATTTTTTTTTAGTATCCTTTACACCATAGCAACACAAACACATTTAAAAAATAATCAGTGACTAAGAAAGCCCCACACATGAAGAAAGACAACAATAAATTTGACTTACCAGCTTAGGTTGCTCGAGGCAGCAGAGGAACAAGTTGTTGATAATTGTCCAGTGCTTTCATTCAATAAATCACATTGGCTCTGCTTTCTCCTGTGGCTCAGCTTCTGCGCAAAACAAGCGAACCTCCTTCCTATTCTGTGTCAGGAATAAAATGCGAACAGGATCACTACGAGCAAGAGCTGAAGTCCATGATCACTAAGCTACTTTTAATGCAAAATAAAAACACAAATGATGCATGGGATAAGGAGGGGAGGAGGAAACGGCTTGGCTCAGAATCTAGGTGTATTCTCCGGTCTGCAGCCTGGGGAAAGCTTGATTTCTCAAGCTTGTATGCATGTAGGAAAAGAATGCCATGACTTCCGTGTGCTTAGCCTATTGTATCTGTGAGAACCATGCGGGGTGGCATGCGGGAACAAGCTCCCTGGCACACAATACTGAATCGTAACTGACTATCACTCAGAGGTATGCAAAAGGACAGCGAAGCAGCCACTTAGCTTTTCACTGCATAAAAGGCAGGGGCAGAACTGTCATTTGGCAACTAAGATCCTATCCAGCAATCTGTGACGATAGCTCTTCTGGGACAGCGAGCCCACTGCTGGGGACTAGAGAAGCACACAGGTGGCAGCCACATGCCCTCACTGTAGAGCACCTGTGCAATCCCTTATGTGCTCCTGGCAATAGTGAGGGGGCACTGCAAGGAAGCTCTAAATCTAGTCAGGGCTGTTCAGTCTAGGCTCAAGTTTTTGTCTAAGCAGGTATGAAAAAGTAGTTACCAGACATGAGACTTAGGATGGAGAAGCTCTGTCTTGGGAGGAAGGTTCTGTGCTCTGTGATAGCCACAAATGGTGTACCTGGCTCCTATCATGATGTTATGCTTTATATGACGAATGAAACACAAAATGAGTTTCCTAGAAAGCCACATGTGTAGGCACTTCTATGTTTCTATCTGATATAAAATGTCCAATGACCTGTTCTTGCTGCTGATTATGTTAGGGAGGCTTTTCTGACAAATAGTATGAATAGTATGAATAACACGCACACACACACACACACACACACACACACACACACACACACAGCCCTGGCAACGGCATTAAGAATCTTTCTAAAGCTCTATTCAGATACCTCTTTGGCAAATGAATGCTTAGCTTTCTTGATGACTTCAGAAATAATTTTGGTCCCTCCTCCCATGCACTGAGTCTCGTCTGTTAGTTATGCCTGAAGCCAGATCTTTAACTCCTAAATTGGAAATGTGGCTCTGAGGTAAATCTAGAGAATCTCTTGCTTGTAAGCAATAGGGTAGTGTGTTAGTCTTTGGCTTGATAATTACCTAGAATCCTGAGAATGGGATTTTGTATATGTGAAAGTCCCTCTCTTTATAGAGACACCATGCTTCCTGGCAGCTCACTTGCTCTGACAGGTGGCTATTCCAGAGCTGGGAGCTGAGACATGACTCAGTGACGCAGAAAACTTGGAATTTCAAGAGAAGAACTTTGTGTAGCTTTTCACAATTATCTTACCTTTTCTATTTTTTCAAAAAGATAAAATATCTCTCTCTGAAAATATTTGTTCACCCCTTCTGCCTTGGACTTACTTGTTCATGTAGCATTGCTACGAATAATCTAATTTGGGAATATTCATGCCCTTGAGTTTCAAGCGGCTATTTTTTTTTCCATGAAGGATTAAGAAAGGATCAGTCTATTCCTTTGCAGCTTAAGTTGAAATGATTTTTGGTTAAAATGTTTTACCCTAGCATCTAGAAAAAAAATGGCTTTGATGCAGATTTACTTTATGTTCTAGCTGCTGGGCCCAAACAGGTGACTGAGTAACATGACTACAGTCAGGTGCTGCTTCTAGGGGCATGAGCTCAATCTCCTTTGCAGAATTAAGGGGACAATGCCTTTGTCACCACTATACCTTTTCTTGGAGCAAATACACATACTGAGTACCCTAATCTGAAAATCAAAATACGTCAAATACTTCAAAATTCATGACACTATGAGTGAAATACTCCACAGCACAAAACATGTCATGCACAAAAATATTTAAAATATTACATAAATTACTTTCAGACTATGTGTATAAGGTGTATATGGAACATAAATGCATTTCTTTTTTGGACTTCCATCCCTAGCCCCAAGATATCTCAGTATGAATATAGAGCTATTCCAAAATCTGAAATCTAAAACCCTTCTCGTCCCAAGCTTTTTAGATAAAGAATATTTAATCTGTACTCGTGTAAGTGCAAATGTCCAGCCCATTGCAAAGTAGAGCCTTTAGTTCATTCTTTCACTAGCCTACTCTTCAAGCCATTTCTTTTACATACTTAGTAGGTTAGATCCATGGTGTCACCCACTTTAATGTTTCTCAGAACCTATTGATGAAGTATAAATTCCTTGACATATCTTAGGAGTATTCTCTACACTTTGATCTAGTTTTCTTCTCTGTCCTAAATTCTCACCACTTTTCTACTTGCTGTCGTTTTATTTCAAATCGGTTTCAGCTCCTTGGACAGGACAGATTCTCTCTTTACACCTTTGCGTATGCTATTCTTCTGCCTGGAGGTTCAGTCCCCTTTGTCTGGCTAACTTCTACATAGCCTTGGAGCCTTGGCTTACATATCACACCTCAAGGACATTTTCCTAGCCCTTAGGCTCTTCGGTTCTCTGTTCTATGGTCTGAGAGTGTGGTGTCTGATACTCCCATCATTACATCCATCACATTTTATTTCATTTACTTCATTTCAGTCATCTGCATTATATTGTAAGAGTTTTAAGTGCAAAGTTTCTTATTCAACTAGTGTGTTTTCCATGTCTCACAGAATTCCTGGCAACTTGAAGGCACTCAACACATGTTTAGTGTTTTGTTGATGTGTTGAATGTGTGTGCAGTGCCTAGATGAATAAATCCCCCTCCAAGAGTAATGGAGGGTTTCAGAATTGAAACGAGCTCAGAGTTCTTTTGATACATCGAATTTTTCTTACCAAGTGGCTATCCACAAATGGCTCCTCTCCTTTGATTTTTCTTGATCAGCTTCAACCCATACTGATCAATCTTATTTTACCTTCCTCCTGCACTTTTACAGAACGTCCTTCCATTTTGTTCTCCAGTTTTTTTTCCTGGATTTTGTGTCACCTCTACAAACTGGTATTCTCCATAACTCTTCTCATATGACTGCAATTACTGATGCTTGATTCATTGAACAGCAAACATTTGAACAAGGAGTTAATTGATCAGTCTTGATTTAGGATAATTTCTCTGGTTTGAGGGGAAGGATGACTTAGATCAGTCAGACCTAAAGACTACAGCATAGACATGGAATCTAAAAGCAGTCTTGCTATTTTTTTCCCTCTCCTCTTCCCATCACCCCTCCCTCCCAGTCATAACGCCAGTGTTCTCATTAGGAACACTGAGAATGTTTGTTCCATACTCAGAACTTCCCCTCCACCCAATTCCACCCCCACAGTTATTTCACTTGCTTAGGTTATTTGTTATTGTGCCTTACTGATTAGCTCCTTTGAAGAAAGAGGTTGCATTAAAAAAATAACAGACTTCTTCCTCTAGCCCTTATACTTCCTGGCCTAATGCCTTGCAGCTAGTAAGTGCTCAATGAATATTAAGAAATAAAAACGTTTATTATATGTAAAATATTAGGTGAAGCGTTTTTCAAAGATAGAAGAGATCTACTTAGAGAGATGCAACTGATTCCAAGGTAGAATTAAACAAGTGCCACTTCTGAAAGTCTGAGCAGAGTGCTAAGGGAGCATAAAATAATTATCATACCCTTGTGGGATGCCTAGGGATGATTCACAGAGAAGGTTGCATCTGAACTGGATGTGGAGGAGCAAAGACTCCTGTAGGTTGAAAAGAAGAGATGGGAAGGAAACCAAGGCACGGAGCTCCTGGAAGGGCAAGAAGTCCGGTGGACAGGACTGGAATGAGCTGATCGAATGGAACCTGGCTCAAAATGTAGACCAGGGATGGACTGGGGAGAACTTCAGTGCTATTTTAAGGAGTCTAGAGTTTGTGATACAGATGACAGGAATTTGAGGAGACTAGCAGTGCAGTTGAATAAGAGCCCTCTAGGCTAGCCGTTGTGAACAATGAACCAAAATAGTTAGAACCTGCACGGAGAAAGACACTTTTGGTGGGGGCACGTGAAAATAGAAATCAGGGAATGAAAGTGAAGTGCAGACATAGAACTTACAGACCTAGTGAAGGGTAGGAACTGGAGAGGATGGGGGGGAATTGAAGGTGATTTTTTAAAGTTTTAGCCTATAGGTCCCAATGTTAATGATTCCAGGGCATGAACATAGAGGCAGTTTGGGCATTCATGGTCTGTGCACTCTTTTAAGCTAGAGAAAAGAACAGGCAGCAGAGTCCTTGGAGGCACAACAATGTGCCTAGAGTGCTTTGAAGGAGTCAGTCAAGGCTGTAACTGTGGCCTGCCTGGAACAGTCTGCAGGGCCATTTGTGGAAGGTGATGGCGGTGGTGCAGTTTCTTCCCAAAGAAGACTTTCTCCTTCAGGATGAGAGTTTGCCCATTCCCCTCAGATGGAGTTGTTTAGCTCAGTGGAAAGAACATGGGTTAAGGGATGGAGAGTTTGAGTTTGAATCTTCCAGACTCTCTCCCCTTGCTACATGACCTTGGGAACGTTACTTTCTATCATCAGGCCTCAGTTTTTCCACGAGTAGAATGAGAGAGTTGCCCAAGTTTAATTTAAAGGCTCCTTTTAGCATACGCTTCTTTGATTTGTAAAATGTAGTGCTTAGGATTTCAGAATACTTGTGAAATTAGGCCAGAGTCCGTCAATCTCGATAGCCAGTAATGCCTACTCTCGCCCCCAAATCCTGCCCATATTTTCAGAATGTCCATACATCACTGCAGATGCGCGTCTGCCCTGCAGTTAGTTATATGCGGTTTGTTTGTAAGACATACATTTGAATTGATTACTTTTTGATGGCTGTTTCCTAACAATACAACATTTAACTTTTTTTTGGTGGGTAGTGCCTTTTCATTAACATCTCAAAAGCAAATTATGAGAAGAAAGTGGCCGTCCCTCACTGTGGTCAGCAAAGAGCCTGGCCAGCCTACTTCCGCTCTCTAATCTCTTGACCTTCCTTAAGGGTGCGGCT